ATAAAAAAATTGAGAAACCGAAAATTTGAAAAATCAAGAAATGACGAATCAAACAAACGAGAAATCGAATCGAACATCGAAAAATCGAAAATTGAAAAAGTGAAAAATCGAAAAATCAAGAAATTGAAAAATGAAAATATCGAGAAAACGAAAAATTGAAAAATCGCAAAAAATCGAAAAATGGAAACACCAAAAACCTGAAAAATTGAAAAATAGAAAATTTATGAATTGAGAAACTAAAAAATCGAAAAATCGGGCAATCAAGAAGTCGCTAAATCGAATTAGTAAAAAGTCGAGAAATAATATAAAAATTGAGAAATCGAAGTCGAAAAATAGAAAAATCGAAAATTAAAACATTGAAAATTCGAAAAATTAAAAACGAAAAGATCCAAAAATTAAAAGTTCGAAGAAAAACTGAAAAACCCAAAACTGAAACATCAAAAAATAGAAAAATCGTGAAACTGGGAAATCGAGAAATCGAAAAATCGAAAATTTAAAATATCGAAAAATTAAAACACCAAAACCCCGAAAAATTGAAAAATAGAAAACGAATCATTAAAAAGTGCAGAAATTGAGAAATAGACAAATCAAATAATCGAAAAATTGGAAAGTTGAAAAACTGAGAACTAGAAAAGTCGAAAAATAGAAAAGTCGAAAATTTAGAAACGCTGAAATTGGTGAATCGAAAAACTGAAAAAATGGAAAACTCAAACATCGGAAAATTGAAATTGAAATATAAAAATTTGAGAAACCTGAAAATTTGGAAAACCAAGGAATTGACGAATCGAAATAACGAGAAAATGAAAAATCAAAAAATTGAAACATCAAGAAATCGAAACTTGAAAGTATCGAGAAAACGAAAAGTTAAAAAATTGGTAAAATGAACAATCGAATAATCAAATTGTCGAAATCTCTATGAATCAAGAAAACGAAAAAATGAACAATCGAAAAATCGGAAAACTGAAAAATCGAAAAATCGGGAAATCAAAACATTAAAGTCGATAAATTGAAAAAAATGAGAAAATCAAACAGTCGGAAAAGAGACTGAAACATCAAAAAATAAACCTAAAGTTTAAAAATTGAAAAAATCAAAAAATCAAAAATTTTACAAATCGCAAGATCAAGAGATTGAAACATTAAAAAATTAATAATTCTTAACTTTAAAAGTTCGAAGTAAAATTGAAAAATCCCAAAACTGAAACATCGAAAAATTGAAAAATTGAAAAACTGGGAAATCGAAAAATCGAAAATATAAAAAAAGCTGAGAAATGGAAAAATAGAAAATTGATGAACTGAGAAACTAAAAAATCAAAAAATTGGGAAATCAAAAACTCGCGAAAGTGAATCAAATAAAAAGTAGAAAAATTGAGAACTCGAAAAGTCAAAAAATAGAAAAATCGAAAATTTAGAAACTTGGCGAATGGTAAAACTGAAAAATTGGAAAATTCAAACATCGGAAAATTGAAATTGAAACAAAAATTTGAGAAACCCGAAAATTTAAAAAAACCGAGGAATTGACGAATCGAAAAACGAAAAATGGAAAAATCGAAAAATTGAAACATCAAGAAATCGAAACTTGAAAATATCGAGAAAACGAAAAATTGAAAAATTAAAATGAACAATCGAATAATCGAATCGTCGAAATCTCTATGAACCAAGAAAACGAAAAATCGAAAATGCCGAAATTGGTGAATCGAAAAACTGAAAATTGAAAAACTCAAACATCGGAAAATTGAAAAATCGTAAAACTGGAAAATCGAGAAATCGAAAAATCGAAAATTTAAAATATCGAAAAATTGAAACATCAAAACCATTAAAAAATGAAATATAGAAAACTGAAAAATTGAAAAACTAAAAATCGAAAAATCGGGAAATCAAGAAGTCGAAAAGTCGAATCATTAAAAAGTTGAGAAATAGAGAAATCAAATAATCGAAAAATTGGAAAGTCGAAAAACTGAGAACTGGAAAAGTCGAAAAATAGAAAAATCGAAAATGCCGAAATTGGTGAATTGAAAAACTGAAAATTGAAAAACACGAACATCGAAAAATTGAAAAATCGTAAAACTGGGAAATCGAGAAATCGAAAAATCGAAAATTTAAAATATCGATAAATTGAAACATCAAAACCATTAAAAAATGAAAAATAGAAAACTGAAAAATTGAAAAACTAAAAATCGAAAAATCGCGAAATCAACAAGTCGAAAAGTCGAATCATTAAAAAGTCTAGAAATTGAGAAATCAAATAATCGAAAAATTGGAAAGTCGAAAAACTGAGAACTGGAAAAGTCGAAAAATAGAAAAATCGAAAATGCCGAAATTGGTGAATCGAAAAACTGCAAAATTGAAAAACTCAAACATCGGAAAATTGAAAAATCGTAAAACTGGGAAATCGAGAAATCGAAAAATCGAAAATTTAAAATATCGAAAAATTGAAACATCAAAACCATTAAAAAATGAAAAACAGAAAACTGAAAAATTGAAAAACTAAAAATCGAAAAATCGCGAAATCAACAAGTCGAAAAGTCGAATCATTAAAAAGTCTAGAAATTGAGAAATCAAATAATCGAAAAATTGGAAAGTCGAAAAACTGAGAACTGGAAAAGTCGAAAAATAGAAAAATCGAAAATGCCGAAATTGGTGAATCGAAAAACTGCAAAATTGAAAAACTCAAACATCGGAAAATTGAAAAATCGTAAAACTGGGAAATCGAGAAATCGAAAAATCGAAAATTTAAAATATCGAAAAATTGAAACATCAAAACCATTAAAAAATGAAAAATAGAAAACTGAAAAATTGAAAAACTAAAAGTCGAAAAATCGGGAAATCAACAAGTCGAAAAATCGAATCATTAAAAAGTTGAGAGATTGAGAAATCAAATATTCGAAAAATTGGAAAGTCGAGAAACTGTGAACTCGAAAGGTCGAAAAATAGAAAAATCGAAAATTTAGAAACGCCGAAATTGGTGAATCGAAAAACTGAAAAATTGGAAAACTCAAACATCGTAAAATTAAATTAAAATATAAAAATATGAGAAACCCGAAAATTTTAAATATCAAGAAATCGAAACTTGAAAGTATCGAGAAAACGAAAAATTGAAAAATTGGTAAAATGAACAATCGAATAATCAAATTGTCGAAATCTCTATGAATCAAGAAAACGAAAAATTGAACAATCGAAAAATCGAAAAACTGAAAAATCCAAAAATCCAAAACTGAAAAATCTAAAAATCGAAGAAACAACAGACTGAAATTGATAAATCGAAATATCTAAAAATTAAAAATTCGAAGAAAAATTGAAGAATTCAAAAACTGAAATACCTATAGAAAAATTGAAAAATCAAAAAACTGGAAAACAGTAAATTGCGAAACCGAAACATTAAAGTCGAAAAATTGAAATGGGAAAATCAAACAATCGGAAAATTGGAAACTCAAAAAATTGAGAAATCGAAAAGTCGAAATATCGAGAAATCGAAAAGTCCAAAATTTGAAAAATAAGAAAGTTAGAAACGCCAAAAATAAAATTCAACGGAAAATATAACAAAATTTAAAACATCATGAAGCTGATGATTCGAACAAACGAGAAAAATTGAACATCGAAAAATTGAAAAATCAAAACATCAAAAGAACGAAAAAAAAATGAAAAATCGACAAACTGAACAATCGAACGATCGAAAAATTGAACAATCGAAAAACCAAAAATTTAAAAAAAGAGAAATTGAAACTGGAAAACTAGAAACAAAAATTAAAAATTCTAAAAATTAATTAATAAAAAATACAATATCAAAAAATTGAAAAATGGAGATATCGAAAAATCTAAAATTTAAAACATCGAATAATTGACAAATTGAAAAAACAAAAAATCTAAAATTTGAAAAATCGAAAAACTGAAAAATTCGAAAAATTGAGAAACCCAAAAATTGAGCATTTTGGTTTCCTTCCAACAATCTCCACGTCTAGGATAATATTAAATAACATTTACTATTGTAAAAATTGGAGATGACGTCATTCCACTATTGATGGGGACGATCAGACAAATTTTACTATCTGATATAATGTGTTTAATAAAAATTCGGACAGACAGCAGACAGGAAGACAGACGAAAACGGGAAACTTATTTTTCGTATTCTACGTCGAGAAAACATAAAAGTAGCCACTCGATTCGATATTTCTTTAGCATACGTTTAACGTTTGTTTCAGTTTTTAAACGTCATTTTGAAAAATTATTGATTTATAAATTTTTATATTAGAGCGTTCCAAAGATGTTTTTTTTTTAATAAACCACAATGAATGAGTAATCTTCGACGGTTGGAGTAGGTATAATACACAAAACACGAAAAATCAGTTGGATGACATCAGTGCTATAAACGTATCGTTCACACTTTTAGCGACGTTGCCACGTTGTAGCACAGTTGTGAAACCATCTTAATGTGTTGGACGCAAAATTAATTACTTAGAATTAAAAAAAAGAGAAGAAAATAGTTTTTCGAATTACTTAATTTTGGATTTTTTCCCCTTCACTAAATCAACAATATGTTGCAATCTGCGGAAAGTTTGTTCCGCATTTTTGCTCTTTTAAAAATAATTTAGTCATAAAAATGTCATCAAAACAATTAATCACTGTCTAAACAAAATAAAACAATAGCGGTGTTACGCCAAGTAGCCGAATCCGCCCGTACTTTCCACATCATACCCAAGCTATTAGATAAAAGATCGACTGGAATATCCGGTATTCTCGAGAAAAGCAGAAAATTTAAATCCACTATCTTCGTCACTCCGGATTTCCAATTACGTTGCAGCTTCCAGTGAACAGCATACAAGTACACGCGAAACTGAATCTAATTAGCAGACTGCCCCGACTTAACGGCCCTCTGACCTCGCCCTCGTCCCTCCCGGCATTTCCAGCGCCTAAAAATCCGTACTTAATCAGCTCCCGTACTCCGCCTCACCCGCAATTTATCTTTAGCTGAGGAAGTTCGGTGAGAAATCAAAACCGCAGTGTCTATAGAAAACTATAAAAGACGAGTCCGTCCATCATCCCGAACAATAGCTCCACAGCCCAGCCATGGTGACTTTCGCTCCGCTCGCTTTCCTGCTCCTGCAGCTGTCTTACGTCGTAAGTACCCAACGCACTTCCAATGCCTTTTTGACATTCCGACTAGTTCGCAGGCTCTCAAGGTCGCTACAACCACGTGAGTCTACGCTCCAACCTGGTGGAAAGGAACAAGAGAATGCACGCCGTGGATTGCTCGTTTAACATCTGCGAACACGTTCCGAATTACCCGGAGGCGGAGGTGTCGAAGTTGATCAAGAGACACTCGGCGCTGCACTCGTACTTCGGAGGGAAGATCATCCAGCCGTCGAAGGTGATGTCGCTAGGGACTAGGGACAACGACGAAGGGCCGACGCCCTTCTGCGAAACCAAAGACGTGTCGGTCGTGCCCAGGCAGATGTTGGACATTGATGGGGCGACGAGGTTCATCGCCAACGTCGAAGGGTTCTCCCAGGTGGTGTCGTACCAGGTCTGCCGGTAAGTTCTAAGACGCAGTACTTCATTGAGCACGATTTAGTCACAAACAACAACAACAACAAGTGCGTAGCAACACAACAGTGACGATTTTTTATTTAGTGAAAATTTTGTGTGTAGCACGCAGAAAAATAATTGATTGCGTTGCAGAAACGACAATGGTGAACAGTGCTACCTGGGGAATACTCTTGGATTTAAGACGAGCTGCTTGCAAAAATTCAACGATATTAAGCTGGTGACGGTGAAGAATCCGGACCATGAGGACAATGAGTTGGAGTTCCGGACTTTTAGCGTTCCGAGTACCTGTGTCTGCACTTACACCAAGACTGAAAGCTTCAAGTAGTGTTTAAATACTTAATAATTATTTATGTTTTGTTACCGCTTTGTAAATAAATAAAATTGAAAAAAAAATAGGTGAAGGTTAATCTTATTTTAGCTTGTAACGGTTCGGGGTTTTAATGCATAATAAAAAATTTCAAAAAAAGATAAATCACGGTGTTGTGAAACCATAAAATCGTGTTTTTTTAGAACAATATTTCAAAGATTATCTTTCTAATAAATTTTCTCGAGAAAAACAAACTTTGAATTAACCACTTGAAACCAATGATGTAGTTGGCGTCGAGTGAGACTTTTTCAGATGAAAAATTAATTTCCTGTACCATCATGTCCGAGAGCTCTCGACTTATAAGCGAAAGTAAATATATTTCCTCGTGGGCTGAAAACTAACTAAAAAAATAATAAAGAAAATTTAGGGTTCTTGAAGTGCTCTTAAATTTATTGCCTAAATATTTTTAGGTCTATAAACTTCGAAGTAAATAAAAAGACGAAATAATTCGCGTTACGGTAAAATCTAGCATTAGAAAACACGAGCGGTTAATTTATTCTATTTGAAAAAAACTGAAATATTGATATTTGAAAATTGTATTAGAAAAAAATTATAAACATTCTGTGTATTAAGCTTTAAAAATAATCCTGCTAAAAATTTCAAGAAAATTGGAAAATCGAGACAGCGAGCAGAAAAATTTAAAATAGAAAAATGAGAAATTGTAAAATTGAGAAATCGAAAATTATAAAAAAGGAAGTTTTTAAAAATTAAATTGAAAAATCCAAATCTTAGAAATCGAAAAAGTACACAATTATAAAATACAAAGATCTAAAAATAGTGAAATTAAAAAATCAAAAATTGAAAAATCGAAAAATTGAAAAATCGAAAAATTGAAAAATCGAAAAATGTAAATATTTATTGTAAAAACGAAATCTCTATAAACCGAAAAAAATTTCAAGATCGAAAATGTATAAAATTGAAAAATGAAAAATAGTAAATTCGAAACAGTGAAAAATCAAAAGCTTGAAAAATACAAGAATTGAACAATCTAGAAAAAGGAAAGAAACGAAAATGAAAAAGTAAAATCAAGACAGAGAAAAATAAAAAAAATTAAAATAGAAAAACCGAAAAACAAAATATTGGAAAATTAAAAATCGGGAAATTGAAAAATCGAACGTTTGAGAAATCGAAAAATTGTAAACAAATCGGAACACAGTCGAAATAAAACATTGAAAAATTAAAAAATGAAAAAGAGTAAAATCGAGACAGTGAGAAATCAAAACAATGAAAAACATAAAATTATAAATTAGAGAAAAAAATTGAAAAATTATAAATCGATAATGTGCAGAATTACAAAATAGAAAACTTTAAACATCGTGAAATTCAAAAATCAAAAATTGAAAAATCAAAAAACTGAAATATTGTAAAAAGGAAATCTCTAAGAACCGAAATCAAACATTATAAAAAATTTAAATTTTCAAAAATTAAATTGAAAAAATTACAGAATTCTAAAAAAGAAAGATCTAAAAATCGTGATATTAAAAATCAAAAATTTAAAAATCCAAAAATTGAAATATTGTAAAAAGGAAATTCGAATCAGTAAAAAATAAAAAAATTTAAATAGAAAAACCAAAAAACAAAATATTGAAAAATTAAAAATCTGGAAATTGAAAAATCGAACGTGTGAGAAATTGAAAAAGTGGAAAATTGTTAAAGAATCGAAACAATGAAAAATTAATCATCGAAAAACAAATTGGAAAATTTAAAAGCTTAAAAATCAAAAACTGTAAAAACGAAATATTGAGAAACAGAACCATTTTAAAACTGAAAAATTGAGCAACTGAAGAAACGAAAAATTGAAAAAATTTAAATTGAAAATTCGAAACAATTTAAACTAGACAACTGAAGAAACCAAAAATTGAAAAATCGAAAAATCAAAAGTCCATTAACTGAAAACTCAAAAAATTGAAAAACTGAAAAATCCAAAACTGCATAATTTAAAATAAAAAACTAAAAAAATTAGTAATCGGAACACCGTTGAAACGAAATGGAAAAATTATAAATCGAAAAACTAAAAAATGGAAAAACTGAAAAACGAAAAAGAGTAAAATCCAGTCGACGAAAAATAAAAACATTGATAAATAGAAAAACTGAGAACTCGAAAAACTGAAAAGTAGAAAAATTAAAAAATTTTAAATGTGGCAACATTGTAAAATTGAGAAATCAAAGAATTACAAGGATTATAAAATAGGAACATCTAAAAACCATTTAATTCAAAAATCAGAAATTCAATAATCAAAAAATTAAAAAAATTAAAAACATAATTTGTAAAAATTGAAAAATTAAAAAATATAAAAAGCCAAAACCCACAAAGTTTAAAACGAAAAACTCAAAAAATTGCTAATCGGAACATTAAAAATGAAAGTTGAAATATCGGAAACTTAAAATTGAAAAAGGAAAAAGAGTAAAATCGAGACAGTGACAAATAAAAACGAAAAATAAAAAAATTTAAAATGGAAAATCTGAGAAATTTTAAAATTAAGAAATCAAAAAATTATAAAAAGTCGAAAAACGAAATTTTGAAAAATTAAATTGAAAAATTGAAAAATCAGAAATCGATAATGTGCAGAATTACAAAATAGAAAACTCTAAAAATCGTAAAATTCAAAAATCAAAAATTGAAAAATTGAGAAAGGAAATCTCTAGAAACCTAAAAAATCAAGATCGAAAATTTGTAAAATGGAAAAATTGAAAAATCAAAAACAGTGAATTCGAAACAGTGGAAAATAAAAAAATTAATATAGGAAAACCGAAAAGCAAAATACTGGAAAATTAAGAATCGGAAAATTGAAAAATCGAACGTTTGAGAAATTGAAAAAGTGCAAAATTGTATGAACTCGGAAGACAATCGAAATGAAACATTGAAAAATCAAAAATCGAAAAACAAACTGAAAAATTTAAAAACTTAAAATTCGAGAATTTTAAAAACTGAAAAATGATAAACTGTAAAAACGAAACAGTGAACAATCAAAATATTGAGAAACAGAACAATTTTAAAACTGAAAAATTGAGAAATTGCGGAAACAATAAAGTGAAAAATTTATATTGAAAACTCGAAACATTTTAAATTGAAAAGCTGAAGAAACCAAAAATTGAAAAATCGAAAAATCAAAAGTCCATAAACTGAAAACTCAAAAAATTCAAAAACTGAAAAATCCAAAACTGCATAATTTAAAATAAAAAACTAAAAAAGTTAGTAATCGGAACACCGTTGAAACGAATTGGAAAAATTATAAATCGAAAAACTAAAAAATGGAAAAACTGAAAAATGAAAAAGAGTAAAATCCAGTCGACGAAAAATAAAAACATTGATAAATAGAAAAATTTAAAATAGAAAAATTGAGAACTCGAAAAACTGAAAAGTAGAAAAATTGAAAAATTTTAAATGTGGAGACATTGTAAAATTCAGAAATCAAAAAATTACAAGGATTAGAAAATAGAAACATCTAAAAACCATGAAATTCAAAAATCAGAAATTCAAAAATATAAAAATTAAAAAAACTAAAAACTTAAAATTTGTGAAAATTGAAAAATTGAAAAATTGAAAAAGCCAAAACCCACAAAGTTTAAAACGAAAAACTGAAAAAATTGCTAATCGGAAAATTAAAAATTAAAGTTGAAATATCGGAAACTTAAAATTGAAAAAGGAAAAAGAGTAAAATCGAGACAGTGAAAAAATAAAAACATTGAAAAGCAGAAAATTTTAAAATAGAAAAATTGGAAAATCGATAAACTGAAACGCAGAAAAATTGAAATACGAAAAATTAAAAAATTTAAAGTGGAAAATCTGAGAAATTTTAAAATTAAGAAATCAAAAAATTATAAAAAGTCGAAAAACGAAATTTTGAAAAATTAAATTGAAAAATTGGAAATCGATAATGTGCAGAATTACAAAATAGAAAACTATAAAAATCGTAAAATTCAAAAATCAAAAATTGAAAAATCGAGAAAGGAAATCTCTAGAAACCTAAAAAATCAAGATCGAAAATTTGTAAAATGGAAAAACTGAAAAATCAAAAACAATCAATTCGAAACAGTGGAAAATAAAAAATTTTAAATAGGAAAACCGAAAAACATAATACTGAAAAATTAAAAATCAAAAAACAAACTGAAAAATGTAAAAGCTTAAAATTAGAGAATTTTAAAAATTGAAAAATGATAAACTGTAAAAACGAAACAGAATAATTTTAAAACTGAAATCTGAACTAGGTATTGAAGAAATGAAAAAGTGAAAAAATTAAAATTGAGAACTCGAAACATTTTAAACTGAATAGCTGAAGAAACCAAAAATTGAAAAATCGAAAAATTAAAAATCCCTAAACAAAAAAATCAAAAAATCCAAACCTGCATAATTTAAAATTGAAAACTCAAAAAATTACTAATCGGAACACCGGTGAAACGAAATCAAAAAATTATAAATCGAAAAACTAAAAAATCGAAATTTAAAAATGAAAGTTGAAACGTCGAGAAACTTAAAAATTTAAAAATTTAAAAATGAAAAACTGTAAAATCGAGACGGCGGAAAATAAAAAGATAAATAGAAAAATTTTAAATGAAAAAATCGAGACATTGTAAAATTGAGAAATCAAAAAATTACAAAAAAGTCGAAAAATCGAGAAACGAAATTTTGAGAAATTAAATTGAAAAATCGAAAAATTGAAAAATGAAAAATTAAAATTTCTAAAAATTGAAAAGTTCAAAAATTGAAAAAGCCAAAACCTACTTAATTTGAAACTTAAAATTCAAAAATTAGGTACTAATTGGAAACTTAAAAATTGAAAAAGGAAAAAGAGTAAAATCGAGGCAGTAAAAATAAAAACATCGAAAAGCAGAAAATTCTAAAATAGAAAAACTGGGAAATCGATAAACTGAAAAATCGAAAAATTGAAATATGATCAATTGAAAAATTTAAGATGGAAAAATTGAGAAATTTGAAAAAAAGCCGAAAAATCGGAAAACGAAATTTTGAAAAATTAAATTGAAAAACTGAAATATTAGAAATAGAAAATGTGCAGAATTGCAAAATAT